ACGATTTTGTTCTTCAGGATGTATCAAAAGTGAACCCTTCTGGAGTATAGGAATGTGCGGTAATGTCTAGAGCCCTGACGTCAGAAACCCTATTGCAGGGTACGAGACAGAGGAGTATAACCAGTTTTGCCGACAACTGTTTCAGGGATATTCATGCATTTTCAGGCCATGATTCGAGGAAATTGAGGATAATGGAGACGTCCCATAGTACTGAATAGCGAGATAGCGGGGGGCGTGCAAATCTGATGCCATGTAGGAGTCTGCATACCAGTGGGCAGCGTCCTATCGGTGTTCCTTCTATACCTTGGTGTGCAGCCGAGATAGCCGATCGATAGAGGTTCACTGAACGGTATGCTTTGCCATTGTCAAACAATGAGGTTAAGAATTGAAGAGTCGAAGTCAGAGGAGTCAGAGCTGATATAGTGCCCATTTTCATAAGGATGGCTCATCGGGCTTGAGTTAGTGAAAAACTGCGGATTGCAAAGGATCTGGCCAGGAGTTCCAGGCAATTGATGTGGAGTGATGATTCCACTTCGGACCTTCTGCCACCTGTAGATATATTTCCACAGCGCGCACCCCTGGGAGACCAACCATTTGAGTTCGTTTTTCGCTTCCAAGTTCAGAGTGATCATGTCCGTGTAGGAGGTCCTGTCTTTCAAATGGGAGGATTGCAGGCGCTTTAGCGCTTGATAATGAAGATGGCCCTGGAAAATTGCTTGTATGGAGGCCGCCAAGAGGCCTATCACTCTCACCAATTGTTTGAGGGTGAGCTGTGCGGTCGTCAGAGTGCATCTGATCTCCTTCTTTATGTTGGTTAATTTTGTCGCTGGTAAGTGTAGGGTCTGTAGTGTAGAGTCCACGATGAGACCCAAGAACTCTATGTGTTGTGTGGGAACTAGGATGGATGTTTCCCATTTGATGAGGAAGCCTAACTTCTGCAATAGAGTCTGAGTCCAATTCAGATGGGTCTCGGTAATGTGGGTGGACTGACCCATGACGAGGATGTCGTCCAAGTAGATTATGAGACGTACCCCTCGACTCCGCAGTAGAGCCATCACGGGCTTCATGAGTTTGGTGAAGCACCAAGGGGCTGAGGATAGTCCGAATGGGAGACAGGTGAATCTCCATTTCCTTCCTTGCCATATGAATTTCAGGAAGTCTTGGTGGTGTCGTGTAATCGGTATTGTGAGATAGGCGTCCTGTAAATCTAACTTCTCTGAGGCAGTGTATGCCTTCCATCTTGAAATGATTGTAGGCAAGGTAAGTGTTGAATTGATCACTGGGCGGACGCTGCCGCCTTTCTTGGCAACTACGAATAGGTTGCTCACATAGAAAAAGTGAGTCTGGTATACCTAATGTAACACACAGAAAAGAAGGAATAGGACTAGTACTAGGTAGCTGCAAACTGGAACAATAGGGATTCACAAAAACCCATATAGAAAACTGCCAGGAAGGAAAAACACTCAGAAGGATAGTGCAAATAATCCAGGAGCTAGATAGCATCAATGGCTCAGAATTGAGGTAGATAGTTGAATGGGTGTGGTAAGGTGCTTTTCAAATTGGTACTCCACCTTTAAAAATTGTATATAGATAAAAGTACCGTATATACTCATGTATAAGTCGAGTGACCAACAATTGTGTTTTGTTTTGTGACCAACAATTGTGAAATATACTATGCCTCGTGGATAAGTCGAGGGTAAAACTTGGGGCTATGAAATTCTGTGATTTTTATAATTATATACACACACCCATGCAAACACACACTCTGCATTATATACACACACACTCATACACACACTCTGCATTATACACACACACACACACACACACACACTCATACACACACTCTGCATTACACACACACACTCATACACACTGCATTATACACACACACACTCATACACACACTCTGCATTATACACACACACTCATTCACACACTCTGCATTACACACACACACACACTCATACACACACTCTGCATTACACACACACACACACACACTCATACACACTGCATTATACACACACACACTCATACACACACTCTGCATTATACACACATACTCATGCAAAAACACACTGCATTATATACACACACACATACAAACACACTCTGCATTATACACACACACACTCATACAAACAATCTGCATTATACACACACACACTCATACAAACACACACTCTGCATTATATACGGACACACTCATACAAACACACACTCTGCATTATATAATGCAGAGTGTGTGTGTTTGTGTGAATTCAGAGTGTGTGTGTGTATAATGCAGAGTGTGTGTTTGTATGAGTGTGTGTTTGTGTGTGAACTGGGTGGGGGAGGGCATTTTTATTATTTTAAATTTTTTTTTTTTAATATTTTAATTTTTTATTTTAGTATTATTTTTAATTTTATTATTTACTTTTTTAATTTTAATATTTACATTTTTTTATTGTAATATTATTTTTTATTATTATTTAATTTTTATTTTTGTCCCCCCTACCTGCTTGTTAGCTGGCCAGGGAGTGGGGCTCTCATTCCCTAGTGGTCCAGTGGATGGGCTGTGTAGGAGGGGGGCTGGCAGAGAGCTGTTACTTACCTTTCCTGCAGCTCCTGTCAGCTCCCTTCTTCTCTGGTCCGGTCAGCTCCACTGTCTTGCGAGAGCGGCAGTCACACCGCGAGACTTACAGTGGAGGAGAAGGGAGCTGACAGGAGCTGCAGGAAGATAAGTAACAGCTATCTGCCAGCCCCCAACAGGACCGCCGGGCTTGTAATGAGCCCGGCGGTCCTGGTCTGTATTATGGCAATGTAAGTGTCCATAATACAGACACTGACTCGAGTATAAGTCGAGTGGGGGTTTTTCAGCACAAATAATGTGCTGAAAAACTAGACTTATACTTGAGTATATATGGTATATATCTGTACTATGTCTTTAAAGATAAATAAATAAATAATAGATCAATAATAAAAAATAGATCAATGAAAAAAGACAGAGTAGAATGAAAAATAATATAGGATATAAAATAGTCAACCAGAGTGTAATAAATAACTGGTAAGGGCAATTACAAACTATCTCTGAAGAAGTGGGGCTATTTCCCCACAAAACGCATAAGACATCACAATCAAGATACAGATCCTGTCAGTAGCTACCAGCAGAAGTATCTATCCATCCAGGACCTTTAGTTAACCTGTGAACTGAGATCGTCAGTTGTGCACGTCCCCTGGAGTGAGGTCTGTGTTGGGACGCACACACCGATCTGCATGCCGTTCTCACTGGCAGTTGGATTCCAGCTCAATCCATCACCATCCTGGCTCAATTCGAGGGTCCTTGAATGTTTTTTAACTTCAATAGACTGGTAACATATATTTGATTAAGGACTGATCTGTATTTTTAATTTTTAATTTTTATATACTTTTATTCCTTTATATAATAAATTGGTTCCTATACAAAGGAATTTTCCTAAGTTTTATTTATCATTTTTGACCATTGCTTACATCTTCTAGCGATATTTTTTGCTATAGCATACAGTTCCACATACTGTAGTGCTACATTATTACTGGCATCTTTGTTCAATACAAAGTAGAGCATTTTGGTGCAACTATCTGCTACCCTGTATCATATTAGGGATAGTTTGTAATTGCCCTTTCCAGTTATTTATTACACTCTGGTTGACTATTTCATATCCTATATTATTTTTCATTTTACTCTGTCTTTTTTCATTGATCTATTTTTTATTATTGATCTATTATTTATTTATTTATCTTTAAAGACATAGTACAGATATACACTTTCATTTATACATAATTTTTAAAGGCGCAGTACCAATTTGAATAGCACCTTACCATACCCATTCAACTATCTAGCTTCTGGATTATTTGTTCTATCCTTCTGAGTGTTTTTCCTTCCTGGGGTAGTCATAGTGATCTCTAAGATGGCTCGTTTGTGTGCCAATTCCAGGACCTCTTTGGACACAAGGGAGGCGTCTTGTCGGGAAAACTGAATTTACCATGGTGGGGAGAATTGTACTGGTAGTGACAGGAACTCTATGGCATACCCTCTTACCGTTTTCAATACCCAGGCACCTGATGAGATGTGTGACCATGCATGGAAAAAATTTAGGAGTCTACCCCCCACTGCCCTTAGGGAAGAATGAAACATAAGAGGACTTACCATAAGGTCGTCGTCCTGAACGAGTGCCTTGTGGTCCACGAGCAACCCATGGCCGCCCAAGTTGTGGAAAGAAGGCCGGGGTGTTGCGGTGCTCAATGAAAGTAGATTGTCTAGTGTAGGGAGCCTCAGTTCTTTCGAAATGAACCCCTGTTAACACGGCCGGACAGACGGCTCCTGGCTCTTCCAGCCCCACCAAAAACCTTAGGGTGGAAAACTTTGCGCATATTTGATTGCACTTCTAGGGCAGTAAAAGTGTGTATGAAAGAGTCAAGCTCTTTGACAAAATTGTCACCGAACAGGAGAACTTTGGCCTGGGCGGCCGGCTCGTTTAGAGCCATGTTCACTAACTAGGCTTCTATTTTCAATAATATTGCTTTGCGACGTTCTGTGGTCATCGCACAGTTGGCATTGCCAATCAAACAAATCACTCGTATCCAGCCACTTATGGCGGTACGATCCAACTCTTGGTCATTTTCGACCATATCAAATATCTTGGTTGTTGGGCCCAATATATCTAATATCTTATCCTGGCAGTTGCGCAGGGAGAAATCTAGGCTTTTATTAGGCTTCCAGCCTGTCTTGCTCAGGAATTGGGTAATTTGTGGGTCCACTGCAGGTGTTCTGCAGGCATCATCTGGGATGATGGGCATGGGCATTCTGCCCGGAGCTGATTTCGCACCGACTTATTTAACGGCTTGCGAACTCTTGATGCTATGTATTTGGCCACATGGACCGAAGGGGACCATTCCACTGACCTTGGAGAACGTAGGTCATCGGCGTCGAACAGAGGTTCCCCATAGGGGTCTAAGATTTTATTTGCATCGTCTGGGGCCTTAAGCTCCATGTCACACGAGTCAGATTGAGGCGTATTATGCTCTCGGGGATCATCGTCCTCGGCCAGGTTATCTGATTCGGTATCTGATGGATTTTCCGGATCCATACAGGTCTCCTCTTCAATCTCGCTGAGATCCGATTCAGAGTCTAGTTGGGCTTTTGCCCTTTTCCATAACCTAGCCAATTTTGCCCAGCTAGTGGCTCTTATGCGTGGTGGCATATTAGGCGCGCCATCTGTGACAGGTGTATAGCTGTCTATCTGTGAGATTGAAGAATGTGTAATCACCCGCGGCGTGCTTACATGTTCGTGAGCCGCGAGCAGCAAGCCAGTCGTACCGGTCCCGGCTTCTGCGCGCCGTGAGTGGCAGCCATTTACGGCGATAGGGGAAAAAACGCGCGAAGCGCCGTGACAGGATGTCAGCGGCTCCAGCTGATGTCCCCGAGCCTGGTAAAACTAGGCTCATGGAGTCAGGGTGGGGCCAAGGAAATGATATACTTAAAGGACCACTATAGGCACCCAGACCTCTTCAGCTTAATGAAGTGGTCTGGGTGCCAGGTCCAGCTAGGTTTAACCCTTTTTTTTTTTTTTTATAAACATAGCAGTTTCAGAGAAACTACTATGTTTATATTAGGGTTAATCCAGCCTCTAGAGCCTCTAGTGGTTGTCTCATTGACAGCCGCTAGAGGAGCTTGCGTGCTTCTCACTGTGAAAATTACAGTGAGAAGACGCCAGCTTCCATAGGAAAGCATTGTAAATGCTTTCCTATGAACTGGCTGAATGCGCGATTGGCTCCTGCCACGCATGCGCATTCAGCCGATGACGTCGCTATGAAGGAGGAGGAGAGCTCCCTGCCCGGCGCTGGAGAAAGATAAGATTTTAACCCCTTCCTCTGCCCAGAGCCTGGTGGGAGGGGGACCCTGAGCACTACCAAATCATTTCAATCAGTGGTGTCCATTGCACCACCAAATCAGTTTACCATCCATGCCCACCTTTTCCTGGTTTTATAACGGATATTGATGTTATGCTAATCAGTAGCTCTTTGCCATACCTGCTCCTTCATGGCTCTGACTTTCAATGTTGTCAGAGTGCAGGCTGAGAATCTCTGAGCCTGTGCTCTGACTCACTAACTGAGCGCCGGAACCACGAGGGAGAAGATTATGTTTTCCTGGCACTATAGTGGTCCTTTAACTGAGGGAGCAGCAAAGAAATAGGAAATGGATTGGTTGTCAGAGCCTATTATGCTGGAGGAGTGGAATCTGATTGGCTGTTCCTGTTGCTGGGAAGAATACCTCTCAGACAATTACTGTTATTTACTGGTTATGTTTATAAAAAAAATGTTTTTGCTGCTGAGGGAAATAAAGAAAGAGTGCAGCACAATAGGAGCCTCCGTGTCTTAATAAAATCCAGAACATCCACCAGGAAGTCCCATAGTAATGTCTATTAGTGGTGTATTAGAACCAATAGCTCTTTGGCTTAATTTTTTATTTAAAAAACCCTGTTGAACATTTTTACACATGCTTAAAGTCTCTTGAGGAATATCACATTTGAAGTAGATCAACCAGTACTCATAACTATGGATGTAAAAAAAATCTATACATGGTAATCCCATATGATAAATGGATAGAAGAGATGAGAGAGACCCTTACTCATTCAGCATTCTATGAAGGACCACCAGTGGAATTTATACTGGAGTTGCTGGCTTAACAACAGCAACTACTTCAGATTCGAAAGAGAATGGTACATGCAAAAGGCAGGCACATTCATGGGTGCTGCTATGGCGTCCATGTATGTAAATGCCTATATGTACCAATTTGAGACTACATATATCCTCACTAAATATCATGCACAAATAAGGGGATACAATATATTTATTGATGATGTGTTAATATGCTGTAATGGATCACAAGAAGAGTCTAGAAAGATAGTGCATCATTTGTTCCTATTACCAACAACGATTGAATTAATGACCAATATAAATATGCACTTGGAGTGTAATATTTGGACTTGGAGATCTTGGTCCATAATGGAAAAGTAGAATATAGTTTCTATAAAAAAACATTGTGTGTGTAATGGGCAGATAGTACTTGCCCTAGAGAGTGGAGAAATTGGAGAGAGTAAGGATATGAATAGTAGGGGTAAAAGGTAAAAGATCTTAACTAGTAAAGTAAAGCCCCCATAAAACCTCTGGAAAAAAAATAGATAAAAGTAGGTGAGAAAACCTACACCTACTAGGAGATCCCTAACCAGATGTTATCACTAATACAAATGGAAATCAATACACAAGAAATAAAATACTGTTTAAAGTGGGAATTAAAATAGGCTGCCATCTAGTGAGCACACATTTATTGCAGCTACTACTAAAAGCACTTTTGTATTTTTTTTATGTGCTTTTCACTGTCTTATCAGTGTTTAAGTGGTTCATATTGCCCACATATCCCTATATTTTAATTGCTGCTCCCACTTGAAACTATTTTATTTCTTGTGTATTGATTTCCATTTGTATTAGTGATAACATCTGGTTAGGGATCTCTTAGTACGTGTAGGTTTTCGTACTTACTTTTATCTATCTATAAAAAAAAGCTTTACAAGCAGCTAGAGAGGGTGTAGCGAAACCAAAAGAAAACACGGCATGGAGGATAGTTTTCACATTGATGTATAATTCAGCAACAACAGAATTAACTAAAATTGTTCATACATATTGGAAACTATTGACACAGAACAGTAACTTACTGGAAGAATTCAAACAGTACCCCCTAATTTTCCACAAAAAATACAAAGGTTTATGAGACTTTTTAGCTCGAACAGACCTGGCAGAAAGTTACATGCTGATTATATAACAACAGCAAAATTTAGGATTTGACAGATGTCTCGGGTGCCTGATCTGTGGACATGAGACAGTGTGGTTGTCCTACTAAAAGTTCCTGAATGGAACTGAAATGTTGACTGTTACACTTTTTTAGTAAAAGGAGTTCCTAAGAAAGCTACCTGGGCCTGCTGATTTTTTTCTTTCTTATATATATATATATATATATATATATATATATGTATGTATGGATAAGGACTTAGATAAATAGCCTTGTGTTATGGTTTGGTAATATGCACTTTAACTTTTCATATTTGTCACTAATGATTTATTTTGGTTTTATGCATATTGGCAGTTTATTATTTATTTATTTATTATTATGCTGTGAAACGTAACGTTATTATTATGCTGTGTAACGTAAGAGACCTTGGGATCATTAGGAGCACTTCATATGCACTGACACAATTTATTTTAGCATATTTAGGTTACTAACATATTATATTAAATTGCCACTATAAATATATACAAGCACTTTATGCTTAAATGCACTTTTTTCATATAATTGCACTTTATATGCAAAAGCACTTTAATCAAGTCTCTTTATACACATATTCTCATATGGGATCTCCAGTGGACATAGTGGAGTAAGTATTGTACCTCCTTTTGATTGTTATAATCATTAGCAAATAGTAGCTTAGTGAATGATCCCCTTCCAGTATTGCCATTGAAAGTGGTACAATATACTAGGAAGTTTGTGAATAAAGGCATATAACTCTGATCTCCACTGGACTTCCAGGACTAGAATCTGTTTTATATTAGCAGGTAACCCTATATTACACTGTATATTTCACACAAGTCCTCTCTTATATTGAAGCAGCCTTGTTTACACGCAGGGTTGCTACAAAAGTTTGGACGTGTGATGTAAGCACTGTGGAGGCAGGGCTTGCACGCACAATCGCCCAGGCATTTGTACCACGCTGAGCACACCTGCATTCATTCTTGGTTAAATGGATTTTCTTTACTTGTACCTATTTTAAACTTGGCACATCTCAGTAATGATTTTTTGGGGGTCCTGAGGAAGGTATCAAGAGGGAACTGAAACATTGACCTGATGTTTATCACACAGTATTGTGAAGCTTGAAATGGATTAAAAAAAGAGACATTTTATATTCTTGACTGCGAGTGCTGCCATCTTTCAATTATTCTGCATATCTACAGGGAGTGCAGAATTATTAGGCAAGTTGTATTTTTGAGGATTAATTTTATTATTGAACAACAACCATGTTCTCAATGAACCCAAAAAACTCATTAATATCAAAGCTGAATATTTTTGGAAGTAGTTTTTAGTTTGTTTTTAGTTTTAGCTATGTTAGGGGGATATCTGTGTGTGCAGGTGACTATTACTGTGCATAATTATTAGGCAACTTAACAAAAACAAATATATACCCATTTCAATTATTTATTATACCAGTGAAACCAATATAACATCTCAACATTCACAAATATACATTTCTGACATTCAAAAACAAAACAAAAACAAATCAGTGACCAATATAGCCACCTTTCTTTGCAAAAGGACACTCAAAAGCCTGCCATCCATGGATTCTGTCAGTGTTTTGATCTGTTCACCATCAACATTGCATGCAGCAGCAACCACAGCCTCCCAGACACTGTTCAGAGAGGTGTACTGTTTTCCCTCCTTGTAAATCTCACATTTGATGATGGACCACAGGTTCTCAATGGGGTTCAGATCAGGTGAACAAGGAGGCCATGTCATTAGATTTTCTTCTTTTATACCCTTTCTTGCCAGCCATGCTGTGGAGTACTTGGACGGTGTGATGGAGCATTGTCCTGCATGAAAATCATGTTTTTCTTGAAGGATGCAGACTTCTTCCTGTACCACTGCTTGAAGAAGGTGTCTTCCAGGAACTGGCAGTAGGACTGGGAGTTGAGCTTGACTCCATCCTCAACCCGAAAAGGCCCCACAAGCTCATCTTTGATGATACCAGCCCAAACCAGTACTCCACCTCCACCTTGCTGGCGTCTGAGTCGGACTGGAGCTCTCTGCCCTTTACCAATCCAGCCACGGGCCCATCCATCTGGCCCATCAAGACTCACTCTCATTTCATCAGTCCATAAAACCTTAGAAAAATCAGTCTTGAGATATTTCTTGTCCCAGTCTTGACGTTTCAGCTTGTGTGTCTTGTTCAGTGGTGGTCGTCTTTCAGCCTTTCTTACCTTGGCCATGTCTCTGAGTATTGCACACCTTGTGCTTTTGGGCACTCAGTGATGTTGCAGCTCTGAAATATGGCCAAACTGAATGAAGCAGAGTAATAGAGTAGCAGCTGCACGCTTGACTTTTCTCAGTTCATGGGCAGTTATTTTTCGCCTTGGTTTTTCCACACGCTTCTTGCGACCCTGTTGACTATTTTGATTGAAGCGGCTTGATTGTTCG